TGAAGTCTGATATCAGAGAAACTAGTTTCGACACAACTAGTTTTGTCCTCTTCAGTCTCACTTGAGGACGTACGAATGTGTCGAAACTAGTTTCTCTGATATCAGACTTCATAGAGTTTGTTTCATTTACTGTTGTTTTTTCGCTAATTGCTGTACACGATATTGTGTTATTTTCTTATTACTTGTAACTGACCCTTGTAGAAATCTGGACTGTTTCTCAGAAGTTAAGCAACTAAAGCCACAGTGTTATGGACAAAATCCTTAAACGTCGAGTGATAACAATCCATGTAACGCATGTTGCTTATTAGTTTTCAGGGTGTGTTCACGTAAACCGCGAAACTCTTCATGGCGGGTGGTGCTTGCTAAAATAACGACATGCTTTAAAACTGTTTGAAATTGGGAAACGTATAGCTCCCTCCCCCAAAACAACAACCAAAGTGCAATATTAAAGTTGACGTTATACCTCAACATAAAAAGGGTTTTTAATCATAACCTTTTGAAACAACTTTTTATCAAATTAATTTTCATGTTATATTCAAGTGTGTTGTTTTGTCCCACAGCACGTAATGACCATGTTTTCCATGATTTACTAAAGTCAAATATTACGAAAATGCCTAAAACATTTGGACATTTTAGAGGGATTGCACAGTACATTGTGACGTCATCAAACTAGTTGGTAAACTGCATCTAACTACAGCCCATCGCGTTTAATTACAGCACACTACATTGTGACGCCATCAAAAGTAGTTGGTAAACTGTATCTAACTACAGCCCATCGTGTTTAATTACAGCACACTACATTGTGACGTCATCAAAAGTAGGTGGTAAACTGTATCTAACTACAGCCCATCGCGTTTAATTACAGCACACTACATTGTGACGTCATCAAAAGTAGGTGGTAAACTGCATCTATTTACAGCCCATCGCGTTTAATTACAGCACACTACATTGTGACGTCATCAAAAGTAGGTGGTAAACTGCATCTATTTACAGCCCATCGTGTTTAATTACAGCACACTACTACTACAGGAAGTATTTGTTTTCATTGTCCTTTATTACAAACGTTGAGATACAAATCAATGAATATTTTTGTGAGTCCTCAGGATTCCTGAAGAGTGAAGGACAAATTATTTCTAATCTTTATAAGTTTGGTTGGTTTCAACGTTTCAAAATCACAGGTACATTGTATTATATCAACTTAATTATTGATTAGGTTAAATTTTAGGCATGATCTATGTGTATATATTGCCCTGATCAGAATTTAATGATCATATCAAAAGTAAAACTCGTAGTTCCAGCTCCATAAAATGTTGATATAAGATTCACACAGGAGATACCAATCGGACGAGAAACAAAACATTTGTGAGACATAAACACAGGAATACATATTATGAAAGCAATTTCATAAAATACTGAATTTATTTCTAGTGTAGAATAACGGTTAAACTTAGAAACCAGCAACACTTTGTCGTATTAATATAAAACACTGTAAATCATCCATTCTAGATGTTCATTACTCATATATTTAAATCATTAATAAATTCTGTCATAATTTTTACATCTTAACATGCTGTTTATCTGCCATAACCTTTAGAAAAATCACGCGTTCTAATTTGAACCTTCTAATTATTGGTTGGTTGTTGGAAGGTGTCATTTATAATTATTGGTTGGTTGTTGGAAGGTGTCACTTATAATTATTGGTTGGTTGTTGGAAGGTGTCATTTATAATTATTGGTTGGTTGTTGGAAGGTGTCATTTATAATTATTGGTTGGTTGTTGGAAGGTGTCATTTATAATTATTGGTTGGTTGTTGAAAGGTGTCACTTATAATTATTGGTTGGTTGTTGGAAGGTGTCATTTATAATTTTACAATAGTTTTCTAAAAGTATGTTTTTGATATCTGTACAATTGGTTTTAAAGCATTATTAGAACACATTGCTTAACAACATGCTAATTCAAACCTGGCTAATGAATAAATGGTAAGACAGATTGCT